GGATCCTGGGGGCCTCTAGATACTCCCATGTAACACCTCTCCTGCGCGAGCTGCACTGGCTGCCTGTGGCCTTCCGGGTGCGCTTCAAGGTGTTAGTAACAACCTTTAAAGCGCTCCGTGGCAATGGACCTAGGTATTTGCAAGACCGCCTCCTACCAAACACCTCCCTTCGACCAGTCCGCTCCCACAGAGAGGGCCTTCTTACAGTGCCATCGGCCAGACAATGCCGGCTGGCGACCCCCAGGGGGAGAGCCTTCTCTGTGGCAGCTCCTGCCCTCTGGAATGACCTACCCCCCGACCTACGTACAGTTGCGGACCTGCGCCTTTTTCGCCGAGCCCTGAAGGCCCAACTATTCCGTGCGGCCGGCCTGGCATAATTTGATTATGTTTTAGCGGGGTTTTTTGTATGGGTGTGTTTTTAGAACAGGCCCGTTATTTAATTTGATTTTAGAACTGCCTATATTTATTATGGTTTTTATTATCGCCTGTTCACCACCCTGAGTCCCGTAAGGGAGATAGGGCGGTATATAAATTAAATAAATAAATAAATAAATAAATAAATAAATAGAAAATAAACTTTTCCACCGTCGTCCTTTCCTCCCGGCCGCCATCTTGACTTTTTTGACCCTTCGGGGGGTGTCTTTTCCCAGCGCAGACCCCGTCCTTCAGGAGATGTGGCCGGAAGGCAAGCAGAGCATCATGGAAGTCACCAAGCGCCCGCTGACGGCGGCCACCCTCTTCAAGAACTCCATCGTGGCCTTGGTGGACAACCTAGCTTCCAAGGTACGTCCCAGGCCTTCCTTCTTGTCTAGTCTTCCTCAGCCTTGGCAACCTGAAGATGGGCGGACTTCAACTCCCAGAATTCCCTAGCCCTGGGAACAAGGCTCCCGAAACAGAGACTGAGGTCACTGGAGGACCTCGATAGAGATAGTAGAGTTGAAGTCAGTGGACAGTGGAGTTGAAGTCCACCCATCTTCAAGTAGCCAAGCGTGAGGAGCATCGTTCTGCTTCCTGTTCTCTGGGACGTCCACCAACCTTCTTGATCTTGAAGACAGGTGGACTTCAATTCCCAGAATTCCCCAGTCCTCCGAATACGGAACCCAAAAGGAGACTGAGGCAAACAGGCCACGGGAGGACGTCAGTAGGCGCCTTCCCACGTATCTCATGTCCTCCTTCTATGACCGTGTTCATCAACCTTGCCAATCTATAGACAGGTGGACTTCAGTTCCCATAATTCCCCAATCCTGTGAACTATGGTCTGAAAGAGGGAGACTGGGGCTAACAATAGACACCTCCCCAAGTATCTCAGATCCTCTTCCTACGTTCCTCAACCTCGGCAACTTTAAGATGGTGGATTTTCAACTCCCAGAATTCCCGGTTCTGGGAATGGGGCTCCAAAATGAGAGACTGGCATATGGGGGGGCCATGGGAGGACTTCAATAGACACCTTCCCAAGTCTCTCAGATCCTCCTTCTAGATTCCTCAACCTTGGCCACGTTAAAATGGTGGACTTCAACTCCCAGAATTCCCCTGTCCTGTGAACGGAGCTCTGAAAGTGGGACACTGGGACTAACAAGCCTCAGTAGACACCTTTCCAAGAATCTCAGGTCCTCCTTCTATGTCCCTCAACCATGGCAATTTTAAAATGGTGGACTTCAACTCCCAGAATTCCCCAGTGCTACGAAAGGAGCTCTGAAAGAGGGAGACTGGGCCTAACAAGCCTCAGTAGCAGTGGTTGGATTCAGCCAGTTCCCACCAGTTCGGCAGAACCGGTAGATAAATGTTGCTGAGTTCGGAGAACTGGCTTAATGCACAGTGCTTCCGGAAGTCCAGTCTAGGCCTCGGAGGTCTGGAGGAGGCCTCCCAGGCCTAGAACGGCCTGCCGGATGTGCATAGATGCCATTTCCAGAAGTCTGTTCTAGGCCTCGGAGGCCTGGAGGAGGCCTTCCAGGCCTAGAACGGCCCGCCAGAAGTGTGTGGATGCCACTTCCACAAGTCTGTTCTAGGCCTCGGAGGCCTGGAGGAGGCCTCCCAGGCCTAGAACAGCCCGCCGGAAGTGTGTGGATGCCACTTCCGGAAGTCCGTTCTAGGCCTGGGAGGCCCAGGCCTGCATCCAATAAGAGAACCGGTTGTTCAGGTATTTGAATCCCACCACTGCTTCCCATGTATCTCAGAGCCTCCTTCTATGTTCCTCAACCGTGGGGGACTTCAACTCCCAGAATTCCCCAGCCTTCTGAATTGTGCTTTTGAAGAGGGAGAGAGGGACAAGCCAGCATCTGGGGCTCCTTTCCGGTTGGAGAAGGAGGAACTCCGGATGGGGAGGGAGTTGCGACTGTCGCCCGTCTATTTTCAGCTTCGCTGGCAGCTAAAATGAGAGGGCCTGCCAGAGGGCGGCTTGTGCATGACTGGTGTGCTATAAATAAGCCACACTGAGATGCAGATTACGGTTAGTTTTAAAGGTTTATTACGCAACGCCCCCACAAATATAAAGCAAGAGCCAAAGCATTTAAGGCTCCTAAATCTTGCAAAAGTCAATATATTGGAGTCAGACGTCAGCTGAAATCCTCTCAAGTATAAGTGCCACAAACACACTCCTTCTGGCTGTTAGCCAGTTTTTACAGGTAGTCCTTGATTTACGGCCACAACCGAGCCCCCAAGAGTCCATTGCTAAGTGAGTTTTGCCCCATTTTACAACCGTTTAGGCAATCGTTAAGTGAAATGCTGAGGCTGGGCAATGAGTAACCTGCAAAAAGGGGATAGCATGACCCCCGGGACACGGCGACCGTCGTAAACACACGCTGGATCATGTGATCGTGAGAACGCAACAATAGTAATAAGTCTGAGGATCGGTTGTCAGTCACATTTTTCAAGGCCATGGTAAACTTGAACAATCCCTAAATGAATACGGTCATTAAGTCGAGGACTGCCTCTAGCACGAACGTCTCATTTATGAACGCACAGATATATCGGTGGTCCTTGGCTTACGACCATTCACAGTGACTGTTTCAAGTGACAACGGCACTGGAAAAAGTGACTTAGGACCATTTTTCACACTTAACGACCGTTTCATCATCGTCGAAATTTAGACGCTGGGCAACTGGCTCGTATTTATGACGGTGGCAGTGTCCCCGTGGTCCCCTGCTGATCGGAAAGTCAGTGGGGAAGACAGATTTACCTCATAACGGTATGACTCACAATGGCAGGGCAACCGCCACTTAACAAATGTTTTGCTTAGCAACGGAGATTTGGGGTCGTAAGACGAGGGCTACTGTCCTATTGCACTTAGCAAGACCTGCCCGGTTTCAAATCTGGTGTCGGTTCGAGTGTCGCCCGAGGAAACTTGATCTTATTTCCAACCAGACACGCAATTTCAGCCGACGGGGCAAACTGGAGTCATGAGATGGGTCCTCTCCTAACTCCACACATGCTCCTTTCTCCACAGGAGCCCTACTACGTCCGTTGCATCAAGCCCAACGATCACAAGTCCCCGTTGCTGTTTGACGAGGAGCGTTGCCGTCACCAAGTGTCGTATCTGGGCTTGCTGGAGAACGTGCGGGTCCGAAGGGCCGGCTTTGCCTACCGCCAACCGTACCACCGTTTCTTGCTCCGGTAGGTTGACGGCAAAGTCTTGGCGCGCTTCCGGATGGAACAAAAGACCTGGTGCTCCCTTAGGCAGCGTCTGGTGCCCTCGGGGTCTTCGGCCCTTCACTGAGCAGAGGGAGGAAAGTGCCGGATACAGCCAGGAAATCTGGTGGGCATCGTAATCCCCCCTCATCATAATCATGTCATCTTTAACCAGACTCTCTTCTAGCACGGATGATGTTACCTAGTTGGGTCATGAGATGTTGGCACGAAAACAAGCAAGCTCACAGGGCACCAAAGACCCACAATCCTCCTCCTCCTCCTCCTCCTCCTCCTCCTTTCCATGAATCCCACTCCCTTCTGGCACTGATGTTGTTACCTAGTTGGGTCATGAAACGTCTGCATGAAAACAAGCAAGCTCAGAGGGCACCAAAGACCCAAAATTGTTGTTTCCTCCTCCTCCTCCTCCTCCTCCTCCTCC